CCCCCTGTGTCTTTCTCTTTGTCTCCATGTAATTACCTGACACTATTATTTGATCAATAATTTTTTTTTTCTGATTGTCTGTCATACATTGTGCCAGTTTTGTTGCAAAATTTGAGTTAACAACTATGCATCCCAGAATTGCTACTATACGCTGATTAATGATATCTTTATGCAGCTGATATATCACATGACAGATTCCACATTTTCTCAGAAGCAGGGCACGTCATGGTGGTATGGTGGACTATTTTTATCCTTGACCTGCTTGGGGTAACTATTTGGCCAATAACGACAACAGCAAAAAAACATATGATCCACACATTGGAAACAGGGGAATGAAAAAACAACATAATCAAACAATGAATAAAGAATTAGATATTTTCACTAACGTTTAACAAGAACCCTCAACTTATTCTTAACGTGACAATTTATACTTTTACACCAATGACTATCAAAACGTAAGCTCATCACAGGAACTGAGTAAAAACATCTTCACACCCAACAAATTACCTGCAGCCTGACCACAGAAATATTGCACTGACAAAGAGCTGGGACTAGAGTTATTAAAAAGGAAAAAAAGGATCTTTGTACCCATTTATCAAGTAATCTCATACAGTGAAAAAAGAAAGAGATCTTTGTATCCATTTATCAAGCAATGCCAAACACTTAAATGTTGCTGTTGTTATCCATCCAGAACACACTTAAAATGAAGAAAGTTCTCCCCACACAACAAATTACCAATATCCTCTCCACAGATGTCTGACACTGGCCAATAGCATTGAACAAGTCGATGAACATGCTATATGTTGACTCAGGATACTGGTTTAAGGCTAGAGAGGTGAAACTTTTGTCTCCATCAGGAGAAAGGTCATCTGAGGAGATGTTTTACAATACTATGAACACAATTTTTGTCATGTAAATGCCAGTCATTTCATTTGAATTGGATGAAGTTTGAAGCTTTTCTCAACACAAATGAGTCATTTAACAAACTAAAAACTCAGAGGTCAAAGTGCTTAAAGTAAATGGAAAGTGAGGGACAAAGTAGGAAAGAAGATAAAATATCACACATCAAGATAAAAGCATCAAAGGCATATAGTAGAGAAGACGTTCATCTCTGTAATGTCACATCTCTAGCCCATTAGCAGAAAGACCACCAGATTATTTATTCATAACTAACCTCACACAAACCAGAAGGGACCAGCAGATGTATTTGTAGTGTAATGACACTTACATTAAATGCAAGACATAGTCAAAGAGAATTAGCCTAGTTAAGCTGTGAGACCATGAATAATCATAAATTTCTCTTACATGGCACAGTTTCACTAAAAAAGTGCTCACCCTCCTTTACAGTTTATAATGCAACTGACATGTCCAGCATACCGTTCCAAAAATGTTCCTCTGTCTCTCTTTCTCTCTTTTTTTCTCTTTCCCTCCCCACTCTCTCTCCAGTACATGCTGGAATACTGACATTCCAATGAGAACTTGCACACACATACACCTACGAGTTATGACTAAACCACACCCCCGACGCTTAACGGCAACTGAGGATGAAAAAGTACTAAACAACTAAATCTTCACATGGAATCCTCAGATTCAAATAAAATTTCACTGTAACAAAACAAAGTCTTGAATTCTAGAATCAAACCCACTGACCCAATTACAGCTGGCAGTTGTTTAACATACTATATTAACTCAGTGGGGCTTCAAATTCTAGTCCTTCAGCAACGCTTGAAGACGAGCTGTTTTGTGGCACTTTAAAAAAGAAGCATAACTTCCTTATTATTCATACATATTTTTCAATTGTTTTCCTTTTAACTGAGACTTAAAACAGTAGCCAACAACACGAACACTATAAAATTCTACTCGTGTATGATTGTTCAAGTTAAAGTGCCCCAACAGTGCCTTTGGTACGTGCTGGTTGGACAAATATGTCCACTGAGTCCTCAAAGAGGAGACGATGGGGTCTCACTACTTTACCTTCATATGACCGCAGTGTCACCCGCAGTGTGTAGAAAAGGGAAGGTGCAGAATCTAACACAATAAAACTGTCATGGTCGTCATCTACAGCAGAGGAAGATGCTGTGTACATTACAGGCTGTTTCTCCTGGCTGACAGCTGATGGTGTACCGAAGGGCGCAAAACCTGTGGAAAGTTTAAAAGGCCTACTCTTATTTCAAGAAACCATTTCTTCAGAGTTCCTGCCCAAGTTGTTTTTGTAAGAAGAGGTAAAATTTTGGTCCTATGAAATATAAGGTCCAATTTTGGACAAAAATATGCGCGGCAGCTGAGTACAGAAAAACATTGACATACTACAGTAACACACCCACAAGGACATCTCATTGAAGACACTGAGAGTAAATTTCATGTGTAACCTTGGTCGAGCCACTTCATGTGGATCTATCAAATCCCCCGAGCTGCCTGTAGACACACCTAGTTCATTTCATAGACAAAGCCACAAAAGAAACGTGAAAAGAAAGAAGGTTGGCACAATGCAACTTTTCAGGCCTCTGTAACTCTAACTCCCAACCACTCAAAGAGTCCCCATCCTAAAACTAAGTGCATTTTGCAAAAAAAACAAAAACAACCTTTTAGACTGCTGAAAATAATACCCATCTAAAAAGTAAACTTTAGATTCTGATTTATAATTGAGGTTGTTAGGAATGGAATGCTTTGAGGATGGGGTCAAAATCAGCACAAAAAAGCAATAAAAATTTTACATTCTCTTTTTAAATATTCCAAACAGTCAATGTGTGTACAAGGGAATGATGGAACTTTTAATTTTCAAACTCCACAGCTTATGATTTGTTTTTAATATTTCTTTACAATTGCCAGCACTAAAGATCCCGGCACACATATATATCTCAAGTTGCCACAGACTTCAACATCCTAAAGAAACTGCAAGCTTTACTATGTGAGTGGCTGCTAGGGTAAAACTAGGGAAAAGACACATTGAACTTAGTCAATTTGAGGTCACAGACAAAAAATGAGCAAAAATATTAACCATTTTTCAATATCGCATCTTTTCATATCTTAAAGGCTTTATTTCTTAATGTGTCCATTTCGATTTTTATTCTACCTTACTCTCTTACTAAGCAAGATATTAACTCATAAACCTAACCACTCTCCAGCAAAACAGAGGACTAGAATGGAAACTGTTTGGCCCGGAATAATATAATATACTCTTGAAAATGAAACAAAGTGTACATGGGAAAAAGGAGTTG